CAGATCAGATGCAACCCGATGCTGCCACCAAGTCCTTTCCTCTTTGTCATGCGGTAAACATAAGCATTCCGTCACGTGACATCAGTAAGAAGCACTTGCAGTCTAGAATTTATGTTAGTTACACAATAAAAATTTTTTTTTTAATTTTTATCGTATTTTATTTATATATTATACAATTTGAATTTAAAATATTTTACTTATAGTAAAAAGAGATTATTATTAAATTATTTAGGTAATTGATAATTCATTTTTAAGGTTTTTTTAGGTACTGTTTGAATTATTTTACTTATAGTTAGAAATGACCCCCATGGGGTTGAGGAGTGATTCTCCATCCTCACATACAATTTTTTGTGAAGTAAAATTTGCCCCTATCCTCTACTTATGGGGATTCTCCATTTCTGCTAATTTATATCAAAAATTAATTTAATTATTTTTATTTTATTAATTTAAAACAAAATATTTTAATTAAATGAGTTGAAGATCAAAAAAAGTATTGAAGGTGGTTTGATTTAAAATAATTTAATTCTAATATTGAATTAAAATTAAAAAAGATAAATCATGAGAGCATTCATTGTAATTATTGAAAAAAGAATGGGTTGAAAACGGAGTGGGAAAAAAAAAATAATGTAGGAAAGGCGGCGGCGTGATAACAATGAAGAAAAGTGAAAAGGACAGACGGGAATCGGATGGGATGTGGAGGCATAAATGTGGTGCTCACGGGACCTACGAGTGACGTCAAAACCACTAGTTTTACTTTTACGGACCATTAACTTCAGTCCCGTGTCCTTTTTTTGCCTTTTTTCCATTCGGCCATCCTCATGGCGGTCACTAATAATGTCAGGGGTCACTAAATTTATAAAATATTATTTTAAAAATATTAATCTAATTTATCAACGTCTTATAATCGCTTCCGTTAAAAATAAAACTTTCTAAATTTGAGTAGCATATTATATAAGTGGGATGATATAAAAAATGTGAAAATATTATTTTTTTGTTGTGTAATTAATATAAAATATATTAATTTAATTAATAAAAATAATTAATTTTTTTATTCATATGAGATCCGTGTTATTAAATGCATTCACTCATTTAATGACATGTAAAAATTGTATCAAAAAAATTAAATAAATAAATCTTTTAAAAAAAAGAGTTACCTAATACAGAAAGAAAACAAGTATTAGATCTTATATTTGTATCATATACTAAATTTCAAATCAAAACAAATTGAAAATGTTTGACTTTTATAAATCTTCCTC